TCGATGTGTGTTAAGACGACACGACTGGTTGTGGTATTTCAAGCCCGCCCAAGTCCATCCAAGTCCACTCAGTTAACTTGTTCCGTCTATTGTTTGAGGTGAACGAGACTTTCCACAAGAACTGGAACTGCTAGCTGTGTAGTATTTGAGGGATATTTTTTGCGGAGTTCTGCAGGATTTTGGCTTCAACGGACCTTTTCTATTTTTTGTTGTGATTTTCTCTTTGAGTGCCGACCATAGGTTTGGAAGCAGCAGCTCAGTCTCTATAGATTCACGTCATGATATCTCATATGCATGTTCATCCGCGTTTACTGTATTTGTTGGGTTGGAAGGGCAACAGAGTCGGCTGGTGCGTAAGGATGTTTTCCCTCTTGCTAGCCGGTTTGAGAGAGAGAGAGAGAGGAACAGGGAAAAGAGAGATGCCATGTCGACATGAGGCTTTGCAAGAAATTTCAATCTGGGGAGTGTATGTGCCTTGGATGATGAAAGTCAACTGGACAAGAGGAGAGCTGCTAAAGACTATGAACGTATTTCGACATACAGTACGAATCTAGTCATGTGTTGGGATTAGTGCAAGCTTGCATCATCCTGTTGCCTTTCTTTTGAGCTTTGATCCTGTGAGCCACTGAACATGAAGCGTAGCATGTTTGATCATATAGGACTCTTTGGCTTCACATCGTTGCAACAGTCAAACATGATTAGCCCCCCATTGGATAGGTCTTGCTCGAATGAAGTGCCATATTTGAGCTTCTTGACCATGGGTAAGAGCAGGTGCAGAAAGGCCACATGGGAACTACTGGCTGTGCTAACATGGGGGGGTAAGCCGCTCCAACTGGAGGTTTCTCCGTAAGACTCACTGCACAAGTTGCTCAACCTCTGGTTCTTGTCCTTTGCGCAGTGCGTCGAACGCGGTCTCGGTGTTCCCCAAGCCCGACAGCACGGGAGCCACGGTCGTAGCGATGCCAGGAGCCCCGTTAGCGTCCTTGCTCCGTTCGTAGCGATGCCCTTTGTTCCCAGTAGCTTCTTGCTCCTATATAGTAGTAAGGCCAGGAGCCCCGTTCGTAGCGTCCTTGCTCCTAGTAGTAAGGCCAGGAGCCCCGTTCGTAGCGTTCTTGTTCCCCTAGTAGCGTCCTTGTCCCTACTCGTATCAATAAGTCTGATGTGATCCGTATCAAGTTGTGCGTCTGAATGCACCTGTGTGCCAGGCAAGGTCAGAACTGCACCTTTGCACACCGGCGGGATGAATTGAGGACTTTGCGGCCGAAAAAGGCCCAGTCATGGGGTTTGGGTGTGCAAACATTGGGTCAAGAAAGCAGGTCAAAGCGGGCTTGTGCACCTGGTAATCCTGTATTCATTAGATCAGCTTGTCAGCCGAACACAGATCCGCCATTGACCCTCAGTTGTCAAAGTTCCAACTCTCGGGATCAGTCCAAAAGAAAAGAACACGAGCTGCCTCAGTGACAAACCTGGTTGATCCACATTTGTTGACCTTTTGATGAACTTTGTGGGGTTTTGATACGTACTTCGGGCACACTAACTAACTATTCTACGAGTGCCCCACGGTTCTTGGAATATTCAATGTTCCATGGCCTTGGGGGATGCACTATGATGCAATCGTTGCAGTGATTTAGGGATAGACCATCATGCAGGCCTGCTAAGCAGGGTTGCAAGGCATGAGTCCGTAACGTAACTGGGTATTTTTACTTCAACTTATTGTCCTTTAATTCTTTGTGGACTGATTACGGTGTGTCCCCATCAGTCAAAGTTGGTAAACTATTATCAATAATACTTGCGTGAAAGGTCTTTACAAACCATCATCATCCGCTTTTACTGGAAATGGGATATACTGTATGATATACTATTATACCCAAGGACTGATGCGATTTGTGCATTTGTAGCAGGCGGCAGCGGGCTCGACCAACATCCTTGTGGAAGTGCCAAAAGCAAAATCCAAGGCCATAGGGTCCAAATGCGCAGAGGCATGTCATATTGACCATGTGAAGAAATTCACGCTGCCTCCATCAAAAAGCCTCAGTCAATTGCTTCCAGTGTGAAATGAAGCCGAAGACATGGAACATCTCATTTTGGAAGGAGTGCTTTGTACGAAAGAGGAACATATAGGTGGGCCTTTGTCGTGTATCTACAGACTCATAGAACTAAGCGTGCTCAATGAAGCAAAGGCCAACACGGGCCCAGAGCAGGATTGGCACAGGAAGGGTATAGAATCTGCCAAGTCACGGAATCAAAACCATGCTGTTCCACCCTTCATGTAAGTTCTTCATCCCTGTGTTTCCACATTGAAAAGGGCACCATGCCTTATTCCGGAAATGTGATATGCGTGTTTTCGTGAAGAGATGCAGGCATGCTGGCCTTGTTTTGTTCCCAGTGCACCGCCTCTTGTTTCCTGCCTTGGCTGATTTCGAAATCACTTCGAGGCAAAAGCCAAGCCTGCAGCGGTGGGCAAAGCACCGCACACAACGGCAGATGTGGGTCACGTCATGAGCTCGACTTTGGGAGCTCTTGCTAACCACTCATTTATTGATGGAGTTCGAGGTAGTAGGTATTTGGTAGTTGGTTCGAGCCATGTTTCATACTATTCTAAAGTCAGTTGGAGGCCCAGTCGATCCGTCCATTGCACCGCTTTAAAAAAGCTTCAACGACACTGGTTCTAAGGCAGTCATAGAATCGCGCCTGAGAAAAAGGTTCCGCGCTCTTCGGAGCAATTGAGGATGCGCTCTTCAGAGTTTGATCGCTTGTCCATGCTGAGGTGTCTGAAAATGATTTTGACGACAACGGATTCGTGGACTACTATGTGGTGGAGTATGAGTGCTTTGTTTGCACACAGTCGGCAGGCTTCCTGGGAGGGGGTATAGGGACATGATTTGTTGTCGTGTATATTATATGAGGCAGTATTTGAGTTGATTGAATGAAAGCGCTTCTAGTGGGAAGCGACTCGAATTGCGGGAGTAGAAAGGATGGGCCAGTCCAAGTGGTAGTCTGAGTGGTTGTTTTTGCTGGCTCAAGCAGAAGTCTTGCGTTGTATGGTGGGGTTCCCGGGTTCCCCAGAAATCATGTGCGGGTCTTAGAGTCCAGGAACTTCAATAGAACGAAGTGCGCGTGTTACCGATGGTCGAGACTCGGTTTAAGGGCAACTTTGTTTGCATGTATTTTCTGGTCCATAAAGGTACTATAATGAGGTCTCATCCTTGGAAGGGAACAGTTGGATGTGTTGTGGGCAGAATTTACGGGAGTTGTGTATACTTGATATCTCCAGCAGTCAGCAGAACATACAAGACATCAAGGTTGCTTCCCCACCAAACTAGCAGCGGTAAGCCCTAGCTTGGGCAATGTATACGAGAAGATATGCTATTTCTGACTATTTGCAGCGGTTTGTTTTTGCAATTGATCAGCTTAGGGGCTGGAGAACAGAGTCTCCTCATGTCTAGCTTGCCGACGTTGCAAGATATCCTGATTAAGTGGAGCTTGAAAAGGTAATAAACCACTTATGATGGGCCCGACTTCTTCCTTCAAATGTGAGAGTGATTTAAATGATGTTGATGCAGCTTGCTAAGGGATGCTCACCATTTCGCTGGAATGTTGCTTAATGACGATTCTGCACAGTCGCGGTCGCAGATCTTGTTTCGCTTGTGAGATCTCAGTGGACCACAACGGGCCGTCCCAATTCCACTGAGCAGCATCAACAACCTGTGTATAGACTCTATTGAAATGTCCTTATGACATGGTATTTTGCCTAGCGAAAGCCTTTCGATGTGGCGCCGACATTTCACTTGTGTATCGTTGTGTGAAGCAAATTGTATCAACTTGGGAGAGAAAGCAAGAGTGTTGAGGTGTGGGAAGGTTGTTTGAAAATCGTGCCCCCCGCCCTCACAATCGGGTTGCTTACTTCAGTCCAATGTTGCAAGGGGTGCTTACATGATAATAAATGGTGAATCTGAAGGAAGTAGCAAACGTGATCCAAGTCAGTCGGAGTCCAAGGCTCCAAGGGATTGACCAAGAAGGTATTTGAGCTTCTCTTTGTACAAGATGGGCCCAGCTGACAAATTCACAGGAACAAACGGATGCCAAGGCTTATGCAGAAGTTTCCCAATTGTTGCACCCCAATGCCTCTAGATACTGAGAAAGAAGTGCGGCAAACGCCGAGGAAGGAGTGCATTGAACTTGTTCTACTATGGTTGACTTGTTTAATGTAATAGTTAAACACTTTTTGCCAGGCGCTTCTTGATGAAGATGCTGCTCAAATAGATCAGTATAACTTGTCTCAACTGGTCCTATGTTTTTAGGATTCGGCGGGGCATGCAGATTTTTAATTTGGTGCAACATGGCGTAGCACATTGTGGGGGAAGTTGGCGGCTGACTGACACCTATCGAGTCCTAAGATTGAAGGGTGGTGATCGCAACTCAAATAGGATGTTGAGATGTTTTGTCCTCGTCCCATCAATCTTCGACCTGTGATGTAGGGTGCTTTTAGAAGATTCTCGCCAACTTCCATTTGCATCCTGGGGCCGGCATGGCCAATACTCAAAAACGTCCAATAAATGATTTCCTTGTTTCACTGAGTCTTAGCTTGCAATATTTCAGCACGTCCAGGCATTCCTGACATGGTGCATCATTGTTCTTTACTGATTGATTAGCCTGTGGCTTGTGGGTCACCTGATTGGCACATGAACCAATTGCAGAGCAGTTACTCGTGGCAGTTTGTCTAGTCCGCTTCACTAGGAGGTTTGGATCGGGCAAGTCCTTGACGTGATGAGCAACTCGCAAGTTGCGATTTGGACACAAGAAACCTGCAGTGACAATAGACACCAATGAAACCTCATTTGCTGACTGCTAGGTTTCATGTTCAGGTTGCAAGCTTAGTTTTTGAAACGATCCCGAAGCGTGAGCTTCCATTTCATTTGTACTGCCACAGTGCATTTGATTCGGAAGGTCGGGTACGTTCTCCCGGCATTGCAGAATGAATCTCTTCACCCAGCTGGGCCATGTCTCTCAATGAGGAGCATGATGAAACCTTGCGCCCCGCGGAAACGCAGGTGGTGCGGGTGACATTTTGTGTCTCGTGCCATGTGTGCTTGGAGGCTTATCCATAGCATAGAACATAAGGCAATCAGTACTGGCTCCTGCAGGTCAGAGCTTCCCAGTGTTGTTTCCCACGCGGAGCAAGATCTCCTTTCCAACACGGAAGAAGCGTTCGGCTTTTTTCGTGGTGGCACAAGTGGTCAAATGACAGGTCGGCCGTGTGACCGGTCCAAGCCAGCAGGAAGCTTTGGATCCGTATGATGGATTGATACATTTTTGGATCCAGAAGTGTTTCTTGTATTTTCTTGTTGGATGTGTGAATTCAAACAAATGCTATCAAATGGTGCGCTTTCAACCAGATCCAAGAGAGCTTTCCTGGTCTGCAATCTCAAATAACTAACCAGGACCTTCAATGTGACCTCTTTGGCGTCTCTAAGTGGCCTCTTTAGGGTCTAAGTGACCTCATTCTGAGATCTCAAAAGGTCACTTTGAAGGTCCTGGAACATGGTTATTATTCTACAAAGTCCCTGCCAACCTCAAGCGTTTGGATGGTGCTTTCCATGTTGCCGCAACCACTTCAAATCATTCAGCAACATCAGGGCGCTTGAGGGACAATACGAGTGGGCTTTGGCGTCAAAAAGAATGCATTTGTGACGGGAAGAAGCCTGGCCACCAGGCAAGAAACTCTTGTCTTTTTTGGTTTTCCTGTCTTTGGGTCTGTGCCTTTGAACAAGACCGCAACAACACTGCCGTTCATTGTAGACCAGAAACAGCACGTTGACATTGTCGCAACCACGGTTCTGAACCGTGGGCCGAAACTACTCACGTTGACATGAACATACTTTTTGCACCAGTGTAAGTGGCCCCAAAGAGGTCGGTACCATCGGGAGCATCCGATATATGAACCATATTTTGTGCGCTGAGGTTCAAGAACTCTCTGAAGCAAATCGTGCTTTGCAGGCGACTATTGAATAGCCTATTGAATAGTCTTGCCGTTGTTTGTTGTGGATCAAGTCTCAGTCTCAGTCAAAAAGACAAGACAAGGGTTGCGATGTTAATGCCACTACTAAAGGGATGTTTCTTGATGCCACTACTAAAGGGATGTTTCTTGCTGCTTCTGTCTTCCTCACAGTTCCAGAGTTTGCTTTTAACGCTCTAGTAAATCCTCTAGTTGTGATTGTTTGTGCTTTCATTTCTGATTGTAAACAAAGTGCTGTTGCTGCTTTCTCCACATGAAGGACAGCACATGGTTTTTGTTTCTTTTTGGTTGTGTCTTCAATTTATCCTCCTTCTGCGCTCCTTTTGTTGTTCTAAATCCTAACTCTTGTTGTTATTATTTGTGTTGTTTGTTGTGTATGTAGATCCAGCACTGTGATATTTATCATGATTTGCACTGACACAAGATACCTCACCTTTTTTCACTTGTAGAAAAGAGCACGCTTCTATGTTTGAGATGCCTATCAATAGAATGGGGATCCCTTCTTGTAAGTGATTCAGCAAGATTCACGTGCTTTCTGACTTTGATTATGTAGCAAGATGTCCATAATGACTCAAACGTCCCAGATGTTTCTCTAATGATCCGACACAGCATCGAATCGAGTTCGAGATTCCAGGCCTTCCAGCACGTGAATCGCAAAGCGGTGGAACAGTCCGGACACCATGAGCGATAAGCGCCTCGCGCCGAGCCGAAACAAAAGGAAGAACCTACTAGCGATGGCCTCCAACCTAGAAGTGATGGCCTGGCAGTCTGGAGAATTCTACTTCCTTGGTTTCCGGTGCCCCTGAATACGAACAACGCTTGAAAGATCTTGAAGCGCGAAATGGACAGCTTTAAACTGTAGACCTTCAGGTTCCCATGTACAAACCCATAAGATCCAAGCGGTGAATTCTGGAAGATGCTTCAACATGCTTCAACACCTCGAAATACACTAAAGATGTTCCCAACTTTAACCTCGAGCCCATCAACATGGCATCACGCTTCTTTTCGAGCCCATTGCGAGTGGGTGTCAACATGAAGAAGATGAGAAGCCGAGGGCATCAAACACAGCGATGCATTTCCAAAAGATTCCTGACAAACCAAATAAACATTCACGTGTTAGGATTGAACCTGTTTGTTGAAATTCACGTGCAATTAATTACGAGAGAGATTCTCACAACCACAGGTCTAAGGGCCTTTTTTTCTTGTTGGTGTGGTTGTGTTGTATGTAAGTTATATGTCCCGTACCCCAATTGAGCCTATGATATGTCTTTTTGCTGAAGGGGTTGGTGCTGGTATCTCAGCATCTTTCGGAAAAACAAAGGATCTTCCTTTTCGGCCAGGTATGAGAATTTCTCGGTCCAGCTGGTAGACCTCCGAAACCGAAAGGAGGTAAGCTCCGGACATCACTTTCTTAGACTGTCGAAGAAGAACACATAATAGAAGAACACATTTTCGCTACTAGGAACAAGTGCATCGCTAGTAGGAACAAGTGCCTTACTAGTAGTAACAAGAAGCTATTAGAATAATAATAGAAATAATACAATATCAAAGATCTCGTTTTATTTGTCCAGCTGACACGATGCCCATGTTTCACAGGGTCCTTGGCAAAGCGAAGCAGCGCTACAGCCATCGAATCCCAGTTGTCAAGATGGCAGACAGAGGGCATCCAATGAAATACCAACAGAAATGCCTCATGATTAGTTGCTGCGCGCCAATTAGGTTGGAGGCCATCGCTATTAGGTTGGAGGACATCGCTAGTAGGGGGCCATTGCTATTAGGTTGGAGGCCATCGCTAGTAGGGGGCAATTGCTATTATATAGGTTCCTTTTGCTATTGGGTAGGAGGCCATTTGGCTGTACTTGTGCTCTCTCGTGCACCCTTCCAGGACATTGATGCAGGAGAGTCCGCTATCGCAGAGGCATGGCCACTTGCTTTTAGCTGATTGCTTGCCAGCGTAAGCAGGGCATAAAAAGCACCCACTAGCATTGAATCAACCTTGAGTGCTTGAGAGCAAAACAGCCGCGACTGACCAATGAGGTTGAAGATGGTTGAAGATATTCCAGAGGTGTTTTTGATGTCACGCCCCAATTTTTGCGTGGTATTTGCGATGTGTCCAGATACCTGCAGGGCCACTGGGGGGGGAAATGAGCGTGGCATGCGCGCGTGTCTTTGCACATTCGATGCATCTTCGGTCAAGGAGGGAAGGGGACGGTGATGCGCTTCGACGATGCGCTCCAACGCGCACGCGCGTTGGAAGATGTGGTGTGTGGGGGGTGCGCTTGGGAGTTGAGTAATGGTGTTCGTCCGGATTAGCTCGTTCTAGATGATGCCACGTTGACGAACATGTGCATGATACAGTATGTGTATATGAAGTCGAAGCCGGCGTCCGACGCAATGTGTCTGGCAAACGTAGTTGAGGCTCAAGTGGCCCACCACTCCCACCCGAGGAGGCGGAACGTCGATCTGAGCCGGCAATCCTGAAAACAGAGTGAGCTGACACATATATATATATATATTATATATATATATATATGTTATATGTTGTAGTTTGTTTATGTTTGTTTATAGTGAATCTTTAAGGAGCTGCTTGTTCTTTTTCAGGTTCATGTGTCGATGTATTTCTCACTTCTTCTCTTTCCCACTTTTTTTGAATATGGTTGTTTGTTTGTCTTTTTTTGTTTGCTTCTGCTTCTTCTTCGTCCTCGTCTTCGTGTGATCAGTCTCAGTCTGCGTGATTCGTGTGGCTAGACTGAACCCATTTTTGTCGGTTTTCGATTTGTTTGTACTTGGATCTGTTGGACCTCTTCACTCGCGCCTTTTCGATTTGTCTGTGCTTGCTGACGCTGAAAAAACATTTCCCTCGTGGACCTGCACCGATTCTGATTGGATGTTGACAAATGTTGACACACTGGGACCGAGTCTATCAGTGTTTGTACCAACATAGTCGCTCTTGATGAAAACTGTGTGATCATACCAAGAATGTCATTGAAACAACGTTTGGTCGTCCTTCCCCCTTCCCCTCAAGTAATTACTTCCACAAATATAACGACAACATATAGTTATAGGCGCATTTTCCCCAAACAGTTTACTGTTGGGGTTCTATCTTAGAAAAAAGGAGCTGGCCACACTCACTGGCCGCGGCTCTGTGTCCAGGCCTTGTCCTCCTCCTGTCGTTTGTGGCTGGGCTCTGTGGCTGGGCCTTGTCCTCTGTGGCCTGGCTCTGTGTCCGGGTCTTGTCCTCCTCTTGTCCTTGTCCTGGCCGTGCCCCTGAATTCTGTGGCTGGTCTCTGTGGCCCGGTTTACTGGAGAGGAGTGTGGCCGAACAAATAGCGATGTCAATGCCGACAAAAAATCATTGATGAAGCAGTTTGCTCTTGGGGTGAAGGTAATTAAGGCGTACCAAGAAATCCTTTTTTGACTAATATTGGTCTAAACGAATCGTTTTGAAGCTGTTTGGGGTCTATGCTGGTATAATTTTAATCCTTTTTGCAAACATATTGCAAACGCACTGCCGTGTGGGGGTGTGTTATCATGTTTCGAGCGTCACAGACACGATCTTGCACACAAGAGTCAGACTCGACACTACTCGGTGCCCTCTCGTGATATACACGTGGAATACACGCAATGGGGAGTACAATGTTAACATATGTTAACATGATGTTTAGAGACTGGTGCTTCTCACCTCAGCCAACCCGTGATCGGTATCTGTTCCGGGTACAATTTGCCCACATGGAAGGCCATTCAGCAAATCGATGCTCAAAAGCAGCATGCTGCAGGACGCTCAGGTAATGCCTGCTTACTCATACAAAATCCTTATCTAAGCTTACCCATCTCATTTCCAGGATATCAACTGCTGTTTCAATTCTGTGGATCAAGCGTGACTGACCCAATGACTTGTATTACATGTGCACAAACAGCTTCGATGTCAGAAGAGCTCTGAGAGTGACAAACGTAACTTTCAACCCGCGTGTCCGATTCATCCCAATGCCATGTTTGGTTCGCTGTGATTCATCCCCGCCTGACATCGCGCCCATCCCAATGCCGGCATCGCCATCAGGTGCTGGAGACTCTCCGACGGGTGAACGGCCATTTCCAACAGGCGGTGACGGGTCAGGCAGCATCGATCGAGGTCCCTGGAACTGTCCAAGCATCCCAGGATGTCAATGAAGCCCATCCGACTGACATCCCAGGTGATGAAACCTGTACACCTGACATCACATTTGCTTCCTGTTGGTAGACGAGTTTTCTCCACGCATTCCACCGAGTTTTCTCCAAGTCTCTGGGCTCAGCGGCTCCGCGACCCCAACTTCCACCAACTGGACCATCCATGAAACTTGGCAACCAACCAGGGTATACCAGGCTTCGTCATGTTCATTCATTTTCCTCCACCTTTAGAGAAGTCTTTCGGAAGTATTGAAGTATACACCATTTATCCACACAAGGTTTTATTGCCCAAAACATGTTGCCCAAAGCACTTTGTTGCCCCTACAATGGAGTCATTTGAGGCTCCGGGGACACGGTCCGTGAGACACCTCAGGTCTTTGGTGAGATGGTGCCCGGAGGCGCTGGGAAGCCGCTGGGTGTGCAAGAACAACCGTTTCTAAAAACACCGAAAGAAGAACAACCGTTTTTGTTTGATTGTGTGTCATTTTTGGTATTTTTTCTGATGCAGAGCCGCAGGGCATCGCAGGGCCTTTGCTTTCTGACAGGGATGTTGCAACACAAGAGCTGAATGTGCAGTATACATCGGTGTACAGTGTGGTTGTATTTTGATGTACTTTGCGATGTGTCGAACGAACCCAACATGTTTGATAGTTTTGGCCTGGAAATGACCTCATATGTTCAAGGACTTGCAAGACCGCATGGAGATGGAATAAAAGATCAAGGTCAGTATGCACAACACGTATTTATATGAGTTTATTCCCCAAACAGTTTACTGTTAGGGGTTCTCAATGCTTTAAAGAATGGTCGCCTTGGGGTGCTGGATGGTCTGGTCGGGTTCCCGGCCGGCTTGTCTCCCACTTCCTTTCACTTGTCTCCCACTTCTTTTCATTTGTCTCCCAGTTCTTTTCATTTGTCTCCCAGGCTGGGTGCTTGTAGTCGGGTTCCCGGGTGGCTTGTCTCCCACTTCCTTTCATTTGTCTCCCAGGCTGGGTGCTTGTGGTCGGGTTTCCGGCCGGCTTGTCTCCCACTTCCTTTCATTTGTCTCCTACTTCTTTTCTGCTTGTGGGTTCCAGGGCGGCTTGTCCCCCACTTCCTCTTATTTGTCTCCCACTTCTTTTCATTTGTCTCCCACTTCTTTTCATTTGTCTCCCGGGCTGGGTGCTTGTAGTGGGGTTTCGGGCGGCTTGTCTCCCACTTTTTCCCCAAACAGTTTACAATTCTTTCCTGTCCGCCCTTTGTGTCACTGCTGGTGTCCGCCCATTTCCACTGGCCATGTAACATTTCTATTCATCCGTCTCCCAGGTCTGTCACTGCTGGTCCGCCCTTTTCCGCTGGCCATGCAGCATTTCTATTCATGTGTCTCCCAGGTCTGTCACTGGTGGTGTCCGCCCTTTTCCGCTGGTCGTGTAGCATTTCTTTTCATTTGTCTCCCAGGTGTGTCATTGCTAATGTCCGCCCTTTTCGGCTGGCCATGCAGTATTTCTGTTCATTTGTCTCCCAGGCCTGTCACTGGCCCTTTCCTGCTGGATTTGTCCGCCACATCTGTCACTGCTGGTGTCCGCCCTTAAGCGCTGGCCATGTAGCATTTCTATTCATGTGTCTCCCAGGTTTGTCACTGCTGGTGTCCGCCTCTTTCTGCTGGCCACGTAGCATTTCTATTCGTTTGTCTCCCAGCCTGCACTGCTGGTGTCCGTCCTTTTCCGTTGGTCATATAGCATTTCTGTTCATCTCCCAGGTCTGTCACTGGTGGTGTCCGCCCTTGGACGCTGGCCATGTAGCATTTCTCTATTCATTTGTCTCCCAGGTCTTGTCACTGACGTTGTCCGCCCCCTTTCCGTTGGCCATGCAGCATTTCTATTCATTTGCCTCCCAGGTCTGTCACTGCTGGTGTCCGCCCTTTTCCGCTGGCGATGCAACATTTCTGTTCGTCTGTCTCCCATGTCTGTCACTGGTGGTGTCCGCCCTTTTCCGCTGTTTCTATTCATTTGTCTCCCATGCCTGTCACTGCTAATTTCCGCCCCATGCAGCATTTCTATTCATTTGTCCCCCAGGCTTGTCACTGGCGGTGTCCGCCCTTTTCCGCTGTTTCTATTCATTTGTCTCGCAGGTCTGTCACTGCTGGTGTCCGCCCTTTTCCGTTGGCCATGTAGCATTTCTATTCATTTGTCTCCCAGGTCTGTCACTGGTGTGTCCTTGTCTATTGGCCATGAAGCATTTCTATTCATTTGTGTCCCAGGTCCGTCACTGCTGGTGCCATGTAGCATTTCTATTCATTTGTCTTTCAGGTCTGTCACTGGTGGTGTCCGCCCTTTTCCGTTGGCCATGAAGCATTTCTATTCATGTGTTTCCCAGGTCCGCAACTGCTGCTGTCGGCCCTTTTCCGTTGGCCATGTAGCATTTCTATTCATTTGTCTCCCAGGTCTGTCACTGCTGGTGTCCGCCCTTTTCGTCGGCCATGCAGCATTTCTATTCATTAGTCTCCCAGGTCTGTCACTGTTGGTGTCTGCCCTTTTCCGCTGGCGATGCAACATTTCTATTCATTGTTTTCCAGGTCTGTCACTGCTGGTGTCCGCCCTTTTCCGCTGGGCATGCAACATGTCTATTCATTTGTTTCCAGGGTCTGTCACTGGTGCTGCCGCCCTTTTCCGCTGGCCATGTAGCATTTCTATTCATTTGTCTCCCATGTGATTTCTTTCTTTTTTGTCTTTCAGGTTTGGTGCCTGCACTGCTGTTTTCTGCCCTGTCCGCTGGAACAGGTTCGCCTGTGAAAGGTTCTTGCTCCTTTGCAAGGGGTGCGTGACTGTCTCAGGGATTGCATTCCTGCCACACTGTGTAACTCTCTCAGCTTTGTTTCTTTTCGGGCAACAGTTCGATGAATGACCAGATTGGATTACGGCGGCGTGGCAGCGATCTCTCTGTTCAGTTGGGGCGGAGGGCATACGTCAGGCACCAAAAATCAATTTCATGTCACATCCTTCGCTCCTCATGCTTTTGTTTCTTGTCCTCACGTGGTCAGCTCCCCGCTGACATCATGTTCGCGCTTGAAGAATGATTCCCCAAAAGGTTTACTGCTAGGGCTTCTCAATTCTTTCTTAAGATGTGTCTGCCCGCTCTGTACTGCTGTGTCCGTCTCTGCCTTGCAATCCTTTACATTTGTCTCCCAGCTCTGGACGTCGCAGGCTCTAGTTTCGATTTTGAAAAACACAAACTGTTTGGGGTCTACGGTGGTGTAATTCATACATTTTGATGCTTTATGGACTACCGACGGACTTGAAACATTGTTGGCGCATGTGTTGGAATTAGTACTGCGATGGCGATGCAAATGAAGTAGAACCATTCCCCATATAAAGTTTTCAGAATCCAATCATGCCAACTAGAAGATATATATATATATATATGCACCACTTGTCACCCACGACACAACACACACACACACTTATTGACTTACGTACGGATCTGAAGGCCACATGCCACACGCCCACCTAGGTGTGAATGCCTAAGGGTACCAGGTCAAAAGGAACAACGGTCACGAACTCGACGACAAGGTGACGACGATCCGTACTTGTCTGCAGAGCTCAAACCGATGCAAAGGGTGGTGACTTGTTCTAGTAACAACGGGGCCCAAGAGGTAGTGTCAAGTCATCACTGCAGGTATGCCAGACTGATCAGGTTGGTATCACCACCAATTGCAAGTGTCTTCGTTGGCAGGAGACTTGCAATGGTGCTCCTGCCCCAAGAGGATCCCTATGATTCCAAGGGGTACACACACACACCGCACGAGACGAGGCTAAAGCAGCTCCGTCGCGATCGAGACGTGGAGATGACCGGTGATACTGACGGCAGCCAAGAGGCGACCCGCGCGGATGAGAACCGGGAGAACGCCGTCGCCGTCAGACGAAGACGGTTCAGAAGTGATGAACTGGCAGGTAACTCTTGCAGAGACGAACGCCACACCAAGTGTTTTGGTCGTCGCAGGCTTCCTTGGGAGACATCGTGGGTGTCCGCATCGAGGTGCGCTTGCATGGTTTGACGTGATGTGGCCATGAGCCATGCTCTATATGTATATACACGTGATACGTCTATTCACACCTTTGAACATGTCAAGAGTAATGTAGGGTAAGTATATTTACGTCTTTGATAGACTTGGCGAACATTTTTTGAGTATAGCCTAGCAGTTCTCTTTGCTGATCAAAACATGGGATTGATGTATCGTGTTGTGTGTGTGATTTTGTTTGGTAATTTGTGGCCAAGCACCGAGTTGATTGGACGTGCAAACCTTAAATGGGCAAGTTGAACTTATTTTCCAGGAATTTGTGCGAAATTCAACTTAGATCAATTTGTTTTGTCACTGGCACCTTTTGTTGCACAAGCAATCTTGTTTTGGGTTTGACGGTAACCTGTGTTTCGATCGTTTCAGACAGTGTTTTCTCGTCCTTTGGCGCGGTGGTGTCCAGGCCTTTAGCCGACTGATCCTGTTTGTCCCACTAGCGCTTTCCTGGATAGGTAGGCAGGTAAGCAGGTAGTGCAAGCAGTGCCCCTCTTCTCCCTTGTGCAGTTTGTGGGCCAAAATGCACTGGCCAAGTGCATGGATGATCATGGGTGTCAAATTCTCAATGCATCTGCAGAGCTGCTTTATGGTCAGGTGTCATTCACGGGTCAAGCCACATCCTTCTTGACCATGAACCAGCTGTCCGGCGGGCAGAAGACGGCCCGATGCTTGGGCTTTGGATGCTCAAGTTGAGCCGGTGAGTTGAACATCATTTTAGAGGACCCATGATTTCACAAGGTGAGAAGATTGGACAACGGCGGTGTGTCTTGATCAAGAATGAACTGTTTCAGTGTACAAACATGTTTCTACTCTACCCTCAAAACACGTTTGCACCGATACACCCATCGCACCACATCGCACATCGCACCGAACCCATCAACCGATACACCGGTGGCGTGCTCGACTGGCACATCGTCCGGAGAACACGAAATGTGTAATCAGACATCGTCGTAACACAGTTTGGAAGCACGCTCCAAAGTGGTGAAACCATGCTGCTGAACAGTATGCAATAGTGGCGAAGTGATCCTGATCCTGCAACATCTTGTTTTTTTGCGGCAAGCACTGGTGTGAGATGTACCAGTCAAAACATGTCAAAACCATGGGTTCCAAGAAGAGTACACGGACTGGGGTGCTTTGCTAGGTGTCGAATTGAAGTGCCAAGTTGTCGAATCAATTAACACCATGGTTGCTACATTGAGCCGCATGAATCGGAGCTACATGGCATGTTGCAAATCGAATGCCTTGCATGTATCAGTCAGTTTCATCAAACGGTCTTGACATGTCTTGACAGATCCGGGCATTAGTCGCTGGCACTCGACCGAGTCCTTCCTTTCGCTCGCTGTATAGGTCGTGGCCCTCAGCCTGGTGTTTGCTATTCAGCGACTGGAGTCTGGAACTCAGGTAATTACCGAAATCTGTAGGGACCAAGAGTACCAGAGGTACCAGTCTGCAAGGTGACGATGTGTCACAGCATGTCATAGCTGCTGGTCAAGACCTGACTGTGGCCTTCCATAGTTCGGAGGGACTTCCACCACTTGGCAAGTTGTTGATTGATGAGGCCTGCTCCATTCTACCTGCTTGATGAAGTAGATGCCGCGCTCGATGCATCCTATCGATCTGCTTTGGCCAATTTGGTGGCGAAAACTGCCAGGTGGAAACTGTGAGTGTGGTTGCAGAATTCCCAAAAGGATGCAGGTTGCCGCCAAAGACCTCACATGTGGCAAACAGTATTTTAGAATTTAGAGCTTGAAGAAGCCCTTGCTCGATCTTGCTTGGGATTGGTAGCAACACCAGCAAATCGATTCTTGGCCGCGATCGCCCTCACGAGGACCTCGCAAGTCATCCTCACCACGTTCCGCCCGGAGACTTTGGAAAAGGCCCACGCGATCAGCATCAGCCGGCGATCATGGCCCTATCGATTGTAACATATGACTGCAGTATAGTCGGACAATCCATCACCAATTTGTGGTTATAACTCCAGAAAAAAACTAAGGAGTTGAGGGTCAGTTCCAACCAACAAGAGGACGTCAACATGCTTTCACGAGCGATGCTTTGCACAAAAAAAGGTTGACAGGAGATTTGGAATCACACTAATGTCAATTTGATGGATGGTGTTGATTATCTTGAACTCAAGTAGCAATATTGGAACCTTGGAAGCACAAAAACAATGACAGTAAACATACAACAGATCCGAATCTCGAAACTGATGTCCTTTTGAGCGCAAAGCTGTACGGTATGCCATTTGCAGCCTCCTGAACAGAACAGTGAATGCGCTGCAAAAAAAAACAAACCAATTAACCAATAACCAATACAATGAAAAACAACATTCCAAGCGAAACGCCGAGATCAATCAAAGCAAAAACAGCATGCTAAGAGAACTAACGAGCAGAAGGAGAAGGACACCGAAGAACCACGTCTTGAATCTTTCAATGTCCACTGTCGACGCTCATTCTTCCAAACACCAGCAAGCAGCCATTTGTTTGTTCAATTTTGCTTGGGTCTGTAGGGACCTTGCACTTTTGCTAAAGAATCCTTTGTTGCTGTTTTGCTCTTGCTTTTTCTCATTTGAAGCACCAAAAAAAAGTATTGCAAGATATTGCAAGTATGGTATGGCATTCATTTAGCATGCACCTTTGGCGCGGCAGGCTGAACGATGCTATCGTGTGTACCAGCAAAACAGGCAAGAATGGTTGGTATGTTGCAATGAAAGTGTGCTGTGATGAATGTTGTGGATATTTCGGATATTTGATCACACTTGCCCCATCAAGCAAGACGCATACGCTTGTACTGCATTCCTGCAGGATCTTTCTTGCAGTATAAACTTAGCAATGGGAGTTTTGGCTGCTAGTGTTTGGAGTCTGTAGGTGTCTAGATCTGTCTAGATGGCTGTTTTCAGCTAAGCTGGTCAGTTTCTCATGAATGGCCTGGATTCAATGCTGTTGATGTCAGTCGATGTCTTGGCCAAGGGCCAGTCGCATTGATGCTGTGTCACGTGATCAAGCTGAGGAGGCTCCCGGTCGGGAGCCAGTCACTGCAGACCATCAAGCCAATATCGAGCCAATTATGTAAACCAACAACCAACATATACATAATACATAAACCAACTATATCCGACTTAAACTCAGATCAGTTCTGTGTCATTTGGATTCCTTTGGGATCTTTGGATGTGTTCTTTTCCAGAAAGACCGGTGGGTTCCAAGTAAATCTACAAGTGAACAGCTTTGCCATGCTTTGTGGAACGAACGAGTCGCGTGACGTCTCGACATGCTTTGTGACGACTCGGCGTTTCGAATGACGGGAGGATTCGGGGCATTCGGAGAACGGGGGGGTTCATTCGGGGGCCTGAGATGGCGTTTGATTAGCGGCTTGGAGTAGTAGTAGCAAGAAGCTAGTAGGTTGGAGGCCATCGCTACTTACTAGCGTTCAGAGTTCAGATACTTTCAATGGTGTTCACAAAGCCTGCTCTGCGAGGCAGGTTCTGGGATTGGCTAGGTTCTGGGAAGAACTATGGACATACTGTATGCATCTACTCCATTTGCTGTATCCTGTGTTGTGAGAGGCTCGCAGAAGATCGCAGAAGGATATGTGGGGATACAAAAACAACACCAACCGGAGATCCGGAAGCAAGAAAAACAAGGGCAAGTTGCCTGGCATCTCTTCTTTTTTGGGTGGCATAGAACACAAATGCAACAAATGCAACATACTTTGCACGTTAGAAACATGTGTATATGTTCTTTCTTTGTTGTCCCATGTTGTGACACGTTTGTGGGAAGTCCTTTCAATCCAGTCCATCTCCGGCCTTTCACCGTTGCTTTTCTCTTTCGGGGGGGCCTGATCGATGTTTCATCATGCCTACTACATCCTGTATAGACTCAGATGTTATTTTGTTCCTCACCTGACAAAGCCGATATGTCCCTTTATGAACAGTGACTTTTTGTGTCCCTTTATATTTACTACCACTGACCGGTTAGGGTGTTCCATTGGAGGGCTATGTCCATCCGGTTCTGAACCTTGGGATCGGGATCGCGCCAGGTGCTTCGTGCCCAAGATCGCTTGGCTCAGGCTGAGGCTGAACGAGCTGCACTGATGGCTGACTGAGAGGCGGGAGCTGAAGGGGGTCAACATGGGTCCAAGTGGTAAAACCAAGAACCTTCGGGCAGCAAGGGAAGAGATACTTTCAGATATTCGTTCAGGCAAATCACATTGCAAGTCTGTGAAGGACCACTATTGAGATGATACGCAGAACTTGGTTCTTCGTTGGATCATCAATGACTGAGAGTTGAAATCATTGGAGGAATTGGCAGGTTGGCACATTATGGCACTAATTCACCAGCGTGTTGAACAGGGGCAGACACACAAGTTGTGCTCCTTGTGCTGGCATCAAGACATGCTGCCTCACAGACACTGCCAGGCGGTCGATCCGTTCGCTCAGTCCAGCCCAAAGGAGCAGGACAGACCTTGTTTGTTGGGCACTGTGCACGCCATCTACAATGATCAGAAAAAAACATCACCACCCTGATCAAATTGTTTGTCAACTTGCTGGAACTTCCAGATACGGAAGTACAACCTAGTCCATAGACAAGCTGACCGTGTTTCCGTGTCACGAGAGTACACCACAAGATCCCTGCTCTCTCCAGGCCATTTGGACGTCCGGCACGAACGTCCAAAAATCAAAAGGCAATGGATAGTCATGTGAGTGTGCATTGGAATAGGGAGAAGTGGCCCAATGGGTTTGGGTGAGTTTTCCTTCTTCAAAGTTTTCACTTTAGATGTCCCTACTGGCAGTGAGTCACAAGGAGTTCACTCTTTCTACTGGCAGGTGCTTGACTCCAGAGCTGAATTCTGCTGCCAGTGCATGCTCTCACAGGTTGAATTGTTGGCAGGGCAGCATGGCAATTGTGCTACAGGTTTGGACCCTCGATTTCCTGTTGCTTTCGTACACACAATTGTTGTTTCGGCGGCACGGCCATGCCCTGCTTTGAACCTTGCTTCAGCTTCCGAAACAAGAAGTCATGTCGTGTTGCACATTCACTAATCTAGGATCTTGATTTGTCAAGTGGAACAATAGAATGTTTTCTCAGCATTATTCCAGGCAATTCCAGGTGCTGGAATTGTTTGAGAAATCGTTTTGCGGGTTGGAAAGACAAGCAGCTTGTTCTCCCCAGAAGTCCTTTGTTTACTTTGCTTTACTGTTTGTTCTTTTCCCCTGTTTTTCTTTCATACAAGTGGTGGTGGTTATGGTGTTTGGAAAATGCCCGACTCTAGGCAGATTCCCTTGATTCGCAGTTCTTACTACATTTGTATCAATGTACTAGCAAAAACCATTTGTCGCCGGCACTCTGGAATTGATTTGTAATTCTATGACTTGTTTTGGGGTTTGTCCCCTTGCAAGAAAACTCATCACTGAAGCACTGAGTTCCTTTGGTATCCTTTTCCCGAATGCGTAGCGAAGGGTTCTCATGAACTCTGGGGGTCTCGGGGTAGAGCGTTGTTCACGACTCGTTGTCTCAGCTTTCACAACCGTTCGCAACCGTTTGCAACCGTTTGCGTGTGTTCGCGGTATAGGGCGCTTAGGCGCTGCAAGGGGGAAGCTTTTGGAGAGGGTTTTTCATGGAAGCGCGACGTGTCAGATTCGTGTGAAATAGCGAGGAAAGGTGTGGAAACGTAAGATGTTGAAGTGTGGAGGATGATTTCACTGCGCAGGCGCAGCGTTTTGTGAGATCCGCAGTGGGGTTGGCGTTTGGAACACCCCCAAAATACCACCTTCGTGGCTGTGACATTGGGATTTGCGTTTCAGGGTGTTCCATCGAGGCTGTGCTTTCGTGACAAGTCTCAGCTGAAATGGCGTTTTTGGTGGATGGGAATGTGCTCAGAACGTGTCGAAATCATTCCAAACGTGTGGTGTGGTGCAAATTTTGTTGAAGCTCACATGATATAATATAATGTTGTCACTTTCCGTGGCAGGTGCAGTACTTCCTGCGGGCTTTGAGGTGTGGAAGTGCAATTTTCGTGGCAGGCGGAGGGAGTCGTGAGGTTGCGAGGTGTGGCGGAGATCACATTTCGTGGCATTTGTGCCTTGTGCGCGTTGGAGGTGTGGACGAGCAAATTTCCGTGGCAGGCACAGGGAATCGCGAGGTTGCGAGTTGTGGTGGAGGTGAATGTCGCTGCGACATTGGGATTGGCGTGTGAGCGGGCGTGAACTGCGGAAGAAGTCTCGTACGTAACGCTCGTTTTGCAGACTTGAAGTACAACAGTGTCTGCCCAGAGTGTCCTACGAGCACGTTCCACAAGAGTGACATACAATTTGGTGTCCCACAAGAGTGTCCTACAAGACTGTTCCGCAGAGTGTCCTACCAGAGTCTCCCACAAGAGTGACAAACAAGAGTGTCCCACAAGAGTGTTCCGCAAGAGTGCCAGACAAGAGTGTCGTACCAGAGTTTCCCACCAGAGTGTCGTACAAGAGTGTCCTACAAGAGTGTTCTGCAAGAGTGCCCCGCAAGAGTGAGTGTCATACCAGAGTGTTTCCCAAGAGTGGCTAACAAGAGTGTCCCACAAGAGTGTCCTACGAGAGTGGCCTACAAGAGTGTCCTACAAGAGTGTCCCACAAGAGTGTCCTAAGTGTCCTATTACAAGAGTGTTCGCAAAAGTGTCCTACAAGAGTGTTTCGCAAGAGTGCCCCACAAAAGTGTCCTCCAAGAGTGTCCCACAAGAGTGTCTTGCAAGGATGTCCCACGAGTGTGTCCTACAAGCGCGTCCCACAAGAGTGTCCCACGAGAGTTTCCTACAAGAGTGTCCCACAAAAGTGTCCTACAAGAGTCTTCCGCACCAGTGTTCCACAAGATTGCCCAAGAGTGCCCCACAAGAGTGACATACAAGGGTGTCCCACAAGAGTGTCCTACAAGATTGTCCCACGAGTGTTCCACAAGAGTGTCCGACGAGTGCCAGAAGAGTGTTCCGCAAGAGTGCCCCACAAGAGTGTCCTACGAGAGTGTCTCACAAGAGCGACGCACAAGAATGTCCTACAAGAGTGACACACAACAGTGTCCTATAAGAGTGTTCCGGAAGAGTGCCCCGCAAGAGTGAGTGTCATACAAGAGTGTCCCACAAGAGTGACAAACAAGAGTGTCCCACAAGAGTGTCCCGCAAAAGTGTCCCACAAAAATGGCCGACAAGAGTGTCCTGCAAGATTTCCCCACAAGAGTCTCCTACAAGAGTGTCAAAAATGTTTTAGGTGTTTGTTTTTGAGTACGTGTTGCATTCGGGCTCGTGGGTTCCATCTTGTTTTGATGCCTGTTCAGCAAGGCTGGAATTCAAAAGAAAACTGATAAAGGTTTCCTTTTGCTTCCCATGCTGAAAGCAACTCCTGGACCAGACTCTTGTTGAAGGCCCTTCCCTTATATATATAACTTAACTGTTCGAGGTGGCTTAAAATTCGATTGTTTTCAATTGGCAATTCAACTTGCTGGTCATTGGCTGACTCGAATCTGGAGCACGCTGCATGGCTGACTCTTTCCTTCTGCGGTCCTCGCAGGCGCAGAGAGTATAGCTTTTGGATGTTTTTGGCCCAGAAATGGGGTTGTGTGGGTTGGTTTCAGTTTCTTGAGAATGAAAAAATTCCTTCCGGAAGAAGTGAAAAAACTTCGGTGCACGAGTCCAGTCTCGTGGCATAGGCTCTGGTTAAAACACCCGACTCAAAAGACGCCCATCTGGACCTCAAGGTGGTGGCCAGCACCATTTGCTGGTAGAAGCTGGGGATTTGGTGCCCAAATTGGTTCAGAAGGTGATTCCTCTTAATCAGGTGAGTCTTCTTTGCATCAATCTAGAGTTTCGGCAATGATACCACAAAATATATCAGGGATTGTAAAAACCTCCTTTGAATCCTCAGCTGAGATTGCCACATACTTTCTATACAGACTTCATCATATGTCGAGTGTCCAACGAATGGCCGCATGGCGGATTTGTGCGCCATTCAGATTTTGCAGGATGAAGCTTCGTAGAAAAAAGTTCCGCCGAGTGCGAACGCGCTTCTTTGAACAGGTTCACCCGAATTGACATAGAGGCTGGCCAAGCAAGGTAATTGTGTGGGCGCATCTTTTTATGACATGGGCCATCGTTCTACATCCGATGAAGTGTCCCAAAAACCGCTCGTTGACATCCGAACTTAAGAATTGACCCTTTTGAACAATATAGATCACAGAATGTGGAAAGTTCCGGGTGTGGAAGGAAACAGCAGCTTGAGATATCCGCTTCTTTCTTCTTCATGTATTTTAATGAACAACGGGCTGTCACGGGCAATGCCTAAGCCAAATGTAGATGTCTTGCGCCCGGCAGGTCTATCCCTCAGGCCTGAAGCCTGGTCGGGGCAAGATCTCCATGATGCTCAAGGTCGGCCCATCGCTAGTAGCTTGGAGGCCATTGCTATTAGGTTCCTCAAATAGAGGAACAAGAAGCTACTAGGGGCTCCTGGCATCGCTACTAGGAGCAAGGACGCTACTAGGAGCTCCTGGCCGTACTACTAGGAGCAAGAGGATTAAAACCCCTCGACCATTGTCGGTCGCCGATTCGTCAGTCGCGAGAACGGTGGATCCTTCGTGCTGCGTGGGGCCGTTGGGTGCCATGAGATTCATGAGGATGTGTTTGTTCTTTAGACAGTGGGATCATGGCCTTTCATGGCGCAATGATTCATGCAGATCAATCACCAATAGTTAGGTATAATATGGTATAGTATAGGACAGGATGATAATTATAGGGTACCTATCATTGATCTCTCGATTCCCAATATATATATATATATATTATATAGTGATCGGGAACCGAATCCGATAGGTTGGTACTTGAGTACCAAGTGATAGCAATGCAAGGTATGTGTTCTGTCAAGCACCCTAAAACCGAGGGTCATTTGCTGTTGGGTCGGAGGGTTTATCTGGGTCGCTTCAGGTGACGAGGATCGTCGAGGTGGGGGTCCCTCACGCCCATCTCGCACCCATCGCAGCCATATCAATGGGGTGTGTGTAGAGGACGCTACGAACGGGCTCCTGGCCTTACTATTGGGAACAAGAACGCTACTGGGAACAAAGGGCATCGCTACGAACGGAGCA